TGAGGAGAGTGTTCCTGATCAAGTAAACATCTCCAAGCCTAAGACACGAAGCCAAAGACAGAGAGAACTGTTAAATGAGGAACAATCGGATTCAGAGGATGAAATTTGCATATTCAGTAGAATTCCTACTGGAAAAACAAAGATTACCTATGCATATGACACCACAAAGTCAAAAGTGGCTGATGGAAAAGAAAAAGACTTGCCTCTGAGATCTGACTTACCTCAGGAACCAGATTTACCTCATGAAACAGAATTACCCCAGCCTGTGAACGGTCCAGCTTACATTCTTCCATTGGATGAGAGTTTAGGAGAGGTGACAGAAATGTATGAACCTACAGATCCTGAAGTACCAGAAACTGTACCAACAGGAAATGGAATTGAAGGAGGATACTTACCATCATCCGATCCAGCTGGTGATGAGGAGGAAAAAGATATGTCCCCGGATGCTCATGATCTGGAAGAAGAAACAGAACAAGTTAATGCATATGCAAGATCAAGTGCAGATCAAAACCTAAGAAGATCAAACAGGGTCCCAAAACCTCCAAAGAAATTCCATTACCCACAGTTGGGTAATCCCCTTACCTCAGTAGTCCAAAACTTGTTCCAGTCATTGAGTGAGGCAGTCGTTAATTCAATGAATCTTGCTGATTTACCTAAAACTGACTTAGTGCTGCCTAAAAGTTACTGAAGGGTCAAGTAAAGGACAAAACGCAAAGAGACTTGCTTACCTTTAAGAGGGGAGAATGTAACCCTGTATAATTTTGCTAATGAATTATAAAAAGGAATTAATTAGAGAATTGTTAAAATAATAAACTAATCAGAATTAGTAAAAAAGTGTAAGAAAAAATATAAAATCAAAAAGAAATGCATGTCAGTGTGATGATTGACATTTTATTGATTTGTCCAATTACGTGAGGTTTATGTTGAAGTCCCGCCCCACCACGTTAGTGCTGTATGGGCGAATCCATTTTCTTTTCTCTGCGTGACTGTGAGACGAGCAGCAGCATAACTTTGTGTACAAGTTAAAATCGTCAGAGAGGACTGAATAGGAGACATTTATATGATCTATTTTCTTTGGATTTGGTGAGTACACATTTTGAAATGTGTAAACTTTCATAAATGTGATTAATTGTGTATTGATGTGTTAAATTGAGAGAGAGAGTGAAAACGTATTTTTTTTCGTCAGTATGAAATGCTGATAAGATCTGATGTTTAACGAGCAAAAAGTGATGTAATGTTTAAAATATGTGTATATGAGTTTGTGATGTTCATGTTCGTTATTGAACGAGTGATTTTATGATGTTTAAGTTGCATAATGTTATCTAAGCTGTCGAATTTCGATGGACATGTAGCTGTTATATGCTGAACAGGATAACAAGTGTTACTATTTAATCTAATTTACTGCTGTTAAACTAAAAGCTGTGAATTTAATGTGCTGTGAACTAATTGCTGCCTGTTGCACATGCAGGTCAGGTTTTTTGTGCTACGCTGGAACTGCGTTCTTTTCAGCATTACGACCTAAGATGGCGAGCCTTCCCAGCGAGATGAACGTTAATGCTTGATGCGAGATTTGAGTTAATCCAACACCCGTGGAATTGGGTAGGAATGTTCTGATTGCCTGCTAGTTTTTCCTAAACGGGACTGAGTTTTATTTTTGAAAGACTGCTCAGAGTATTTTGTTTCTCTGTGCAAAAAGATCTTCTCTGGAACTGTTGAATCACTTTTCCGCGATTCTAACGAACTGTGGATTTTCTGAACTGAGTCTTTTGAATCAGATCTTTTGAATCGGATCTTTTGAATCGGATCCTCTAACGAATTTGAAGTGAACTTTTCCAACTCAACCTTTTGAACTGAACAGTTCAAATGAGTCTTTTGAACTGACCTATGTGAATTGTTTTCTTCTGAACTGTTGTTTTTGCATTTTGTACATTTTATTTTATGTTTGAACTTGATTTAGTGAACTGTCAAACTTTTCAATTGTGAACATTTATCAATGTTTATGGGGTTCTATTTTATATTGAAAGTGTAGTATTCTAGGAATCTTTATAGCCTAGAGGGTGAACCCAAACTGATTGAACAAACAAAAGAGTCAAGTGAAATTGTTCACTTATTGTGAATTGAAGTGAATCACTATAACTGTGGTTTTACATTGAACAAAAAGAACTGACAATTTGTTTTGTTTTGTTTTTCTTTCTTTTGAATATCAACAATTACTCCAGTCATTCATTTAAATATAAAGATTTACTTTATTATTTAACCAGTTTTGTCTTTATTACACCTCCATAGTCGAACCTACTGGCCTATGGTTGAAACTAGTAACAAGTGCAATATTATTTGACACGTGTGCTACATGATCACACTTTTTTTGCAACTTATTTCATTATCGCGATTCTGTATATCATGATAAAAGCTTAAGCAATTATCGAAACATAAAAATTTGATAGTCACATGTAATCATGACCCACCAAAAACATCTGCTTTACCCTGTGTGCTCGTCTGCTACACCACTGCCAGTCAGTGGCCAGTCTTTCAGGCCAGCTGTGTTCCCAACAGTAGTTCTGGGTAACGTCATGAGGAGCACAGCATTCAAAACCAACCCCTTTTTTCCTCGCCTTTTTCAGTTCACAATTTCAGTAATTGGAGTTATTCATGTTATGAATATTTACTTTACAATTATGCCTCATCAAATTAACATTTAATGAATTCTTTAACTAGACAAAATGTTGCATGCTGCATAGGATTAAGGATAAAGTGAACACTAGACTTTATTTGCTGTGAAATGCCTATAGCTTAAACTGTAAAGTGGTAGTGAGGCCGTGATCATATGATCAAACCTATTTCTTGAATGTACAGTAATGTATATGTGTTACAGTTCATGTCAGGCAGATTAAGACTAAGGTTCCTACACAAAGTTTACTTATAAACCAAACAGGTAGCGATCCAAACAGTAGAATAACACACATATAACTTAACCGGACACTGAATGGCGGTGAAACTTAAGAAGTGAATACAAACGAGGATATACAGCTGATAAACATGAACTCATAATGACAGAATCCATGACGACCAAGGATTGGCGGGAACATGAACAAAGGGAGACAGAAATTGTGAATGCAAACTTCAAGTCCATTATAACTAAACAAACTGAACATAATGGTGACAACATGAATGATGGAACATGCTAGTTAGACCTATCGTAAAGGCCTGAAAGTATACCATAATCTTCGCTCAATACATAATTGAAAAGCATAATTATAATAAAATAGTCAATTAGGCTACATCACATTATGAATTTATAATCAGAGTTATAACGCTACTCAATTTAAAATGAGTAAAATGACATACCCATGTACTTGGTCCAAATTGGTTGGTTGGTCCTCCTTGTACCAAAGGAGAAAAATGCATGCTGCTGTTTATTGCCAAGGCTTAGGTCAATTGCCAACTAATATTTATAATCTCTTATCATATTGTAATTATAGGCCTAGGTATTCTTGTAAATTACTTTTTATTGTTCCTAGAGCATTTTCTGAGTTTGGCAAAACTGCATTTTCCTATTATGCTCCTACGGGGGCCGAGAGAGTTAAACGCGCTGTAACTGAAGAAAACATGTAAATAGAAAAACACCCACAAATTAAGAAAACATTTTCATCAGCTTCACAACACACGTGTGTTCCAAATACTCACAACACAACCAAATACAGAAACGCACTGCAAATAGCACAGACCAGAACGGAAATGTTTCCAGGGGACCCCAATAAGTGAGGAACCCGGCTGGGACGTGCTTATTGCTCGTGAGCATCCTTATGCCCTACTTCCTTCGAAGGGCAGACGGCAGAGCCCTTAAAGTGGGCACTTTTGGAGGGAGCAGGGCACTTGGGGGCTCCAAAGTGCCCACTTCATGGGCTCTGCCCCTGGAAACATTTCCATTGTGGTCTGTGCTATTTGCAGCGCATTTCTGTATTTGGTTGTGTTGTGAGTATTTGGAGCACACGTGTGTTGTGAAGCTGATGAAGATGTTTTCTTAATTTGTGGGTGTTTTTCTATTTGCATGCGTTTTCTTCAGTTGCAGCGCGTTGAGCTCTCTCGGGCACCGTACCTACCTAGGTTTTGGAATGCAGAATATTGTTAGAAGCACATCCATCTTTAAATATTTTTAGAAACCTTTTGGAGTACTACCTGAAGGAAACGTGTATGTTTTACGTAATTTTTCTTATGATTGCTGATAAGACTTTTTGTTTTGTTTTATCTGTTTATGTGAAACTTTTTTTGTGCTGCCAATTTTGCCCAGGATTCCCTGGTAGAAGATTTATATATCAATGGGATTATTCCTGGTAAAATAAAGGATAAATAAAGTAAAATAAAATTATATATATATATATATATATATATATATATTTTGTTTTTTAAGTGAACAAGTGAGCAATTTTGGACAATGCAATTGCCTATGCTTGAGATGACATGCAAAAGCCTACGTTAGGGTATTATAATTTGTTTTACACATACTGAAGGGATAAGTGGAAACTCTAATGCAGCATTTTTCTTGCAGCTTATTTCCAGTTCCTCTGCAAGGAATGCATGTATATAGTTAGAGACACTAGCCTGGGAAAACCCAGACGAACTTCCGGCAAATTTGACTTGCTCTGCAAGTCAGTCTGGCCAAGAGCCCATTCAAGCCCATTTCCAATTTTTCCAAATCGAGGCACCAATCACAAACATTGAGGCGGGCTTTCCATGATGACGATAGCTCTGATTGGTTTTAGGTCTATCCAATTGCGCCCAGAGGTATTTGAGCAACGTCTGTTGGTGACACCCCTTTGGAAATGGGCTGTGAATGAACCTTCCCCAGACCCACTCTCAGTTACAACTGAGAAGGGTCTGGTGTCAACTACACAGACACTGGAGAGTGTATGTGAGCATATATTTTTTTAATTTATAGATTCTGCATATACATTCGGTTTCACTTTTGTTTTTAAATATATATTCATTTATTGAATTTTTAGTTTAGTGAAATGTTTTATTTGATTTATTTATTTTTCAAGATTCAGGTTTCTTTTGGGAAAAAAAAGTTCTTACATAATTAAGAAAAGAGAACCCACCATTTCGCATACGAATATTTTTCTCAGCTTGCCATTGTGCCTGCTGTTCAAATTCATTGTCCAGTTTTTCTTTTTCTTTTTCAAAAGCTTCACCTTCAAGTTTAGCCCTCAGAGCTTCTGTTTCATTCTTTCTCTTCTCCTCATTCTCTTTCAGGATGTGATATTTTTCCTCCTCAGTCGCTTTCTCTATTTCAAGCATCTCACTAGTGTAATGTTGCCCATAATTCCCAGAAACTATTTTGTCAATCTGTTCAAACAACTGAACAACCTGTTCAGGATTTTGTTCTTTATTGTTGAACACATGGAATCTTCCACTGCAAGTTTTGATGAATCTGAGCAGTTTTGGGCTGTCCCGCACAAATGTGTGAATGTTCTTGTCCTCCAATCGATCTCCATGAGTGAACAGTGCCATAGTGTAAGTGGAGGATTCCTCACCAAAAACTGCTTGAATGCTTTTAACAGCTTCTGCCTCTTCATCTGTGAATCTGCCCAGCTGAATCACAACTAAGAAGACATGTGGACCAGGAGCAGAGAGTAAAATGCAATGCTTAATTCTGTTGACCACTTCATCTGTATTTAAGCTGGTGTCAAACAGACCCGGGGTGTCAATAACTAATATATTTCTTCCATTAACTGTTGCATTATTTTTTTCACATTGCTTAGTCAAAGAGGATGATGATATCTCGGATTTAAAAACCTGTTTTCCCAGGATGGTGTTGCCTGTTGCACTTCTTCCTGCCCCTGTCATTCCAACCAAAAGAATTCGGAGCGGTTCACCTGGATTAGTAAGAATTACTTTTAGTTTAGGCCTCATATGCTCTCTTTTTCATCATAAAGGTATAAATAAAAGTATATCAATCAATATTAAGACCTGTATTTGAGATATATAAAAAAACAGTACCTAAATCACTTGAATTGGGGTTATGTTGATTTTGTATGTTGACATATATCTGAAAGTTAAGAACATAATATTATACATTTCACATATTAGTTTGTACAAATCCTCACTGAGTAGGGGAGCTGTCAAAGTTCACTTCACTTAAAGGAGAACTCCGGTGCAAAATGAACCTCGGGTGTAATAACACATTGGTACAGACTAAATCGTTCCCTGAGATTTGTTTTCATGATAATCGAATGTAAAGAGTTTTATCTCTAAAAACAGTTTAGCTTATAACGCTAGCATATTGGGCATCGAGTAAGCAAAAAGAGATCGCTAGTTAATACCATTAACAAGGCTCAAATTAGCCCCACACTAACACGGCAGCATAATGAGTGTCCTTACATGCAAACCGAAGCATTGAGAACTTTGTAAGTGTATAGACAGTTTAATAAGAAGATACTTTACACAGACAGTACAGTTAGCGCATACAGACAGCAGCCATCTTGGAAAACAGTCTCGATCAGTCAAACCACGAACACGGTGATACGTGAGCTGAACTGTGACTTGGAATCTCATATGGTCCGTTGTTTCCGGAAGAAAGCACTGAGCGCATAAGAGAAGCACTGAACGCAACAGAGAAAATAAAAAAATAAATATAATTTATCTTATCTTCAATATCTACACGTACTGTTCGCTCACCTTCGTGGTTCGATTGATCGAGACTGTTTTCCAAGATGGCTGCTGTCTGTATGCGCTAACTGTACTGTCTGTGTAAAGTATCTTCTTATTAAACTGTCTATACACTTACAAAGTTCTCAATGCTTCGGTTTGCATGTAAGGACACTCATTATGCTGCCGTGTTAGTGTGGGGCTAATTTGAGCCTTGTTAATGGTATTAACTAGCGATCTCTTTTTGCTTACTCGATGCCCAATATACTAGCGTTATAAGCTAAACTGTTTTTAGAGATAAAACTCTTTATATTCGATTATCATGAAAACAAATCTCAGGGAACGATTTAGTCTGTACCAATGTGTTATTACACCCGAGGTTCATTTTGCGCCGGAGTTGTCCTTTAATAAAATGTGATCATTTGGAACACCTTGCAACAAGCACAGATGAAACTCGCATAACTTTCAGTTATAATGGTATATCTGTAGAGTAAATATAATATGGTCACACTTAAGATTAGGGTCCAATTCTCACTAATATTCTATTATCACTCTCACTATTAATGACGACTTTTGCCTCAGTAAACTCATAATTACTGCTTATTAATAGTTAGTAAGGTAGTTATGTTTAGGTATTGGGTATAGGATTAAGGGATGTAGAATATGATCATGCAGAATTAGGCATTAATATGTGCTTTATAAATACTAATAAACAGCCAATATCCTAGTAATATGCATATAGTTACTAATAGTGAGAATTGGACCCTAAATTAAAGTGTTACGTATAATATTAATCAAATATACATGTGTATAATATTAATCAAATGTATACACATATAATACAATGTGTATTTATGAAAAATATATATTATATTTAATTACATTTATAAATTGTATAAATTGCTATATAGACCACATCTAAGATTCATTAAACTCTTCAATAATACCCGAGACCCAAATACATCCCATTTATTTTAGATAAATTTCATGTAGTACTGAGGTGGTGGTGTACAATGACTACTAAGTAAAAATGTTCCTCTCCACTTCCTGTGAATTGATCAAACATTGTTTCTTTGTTCGGTGCTCTTTGGACTGAACTTACATGCTCTGTCATTTGGAATCTCACTTAAAATGGTGAAGTGGTGTATCAAGGAAATGGAGAATACCCATAATTGTATGGTTTCTGGCTGTATTAAATGCCATACATACCTGCTGGTTTATCCCTACTGCAACAAGGAAAACACATGGAATGCAAAAGTAGTGCAAAAAAGTCGAGCCCCTTGACATATTTGATATTTGTCCATTATAATTCTCATTGTTGTCCATATCTGTTGGGAAAGTTAAGTGAAAACAGTTGTTCTTGTTTTTAAATATGAAAAGGAGTAAAAATCAGGCGTTTGATAAATATTTTTATCAAACTAAAGCAATACCCTCTGGGCTTCTTCGGTCAAAAATGACCGAAAACTGTTACGTTTTGAAATGTTTATTTTTTTTGCTTCATCAGAGGGGGATGAAACTTGTTGACTTTTGTTGTATTACCTATGTGAACACACAAACAAATCAAGGAGATGATTCGGATATGTTAAAAGGTCGTAAATAGTCACACTTAGCTTCCTCTCGGTCAAAAATGACCGACCATAGGAAATGAATGGGAAATACGAAAAAATAGGAAAACTCAGAGAAACTTTTGGTGGTACAAACTACAGATCAGCCACTGTGCAGACAAAAAAAGTGTACAGCAGTGAAGGGGTGACACTCTAAAACATCAAGAGTGCAAATCCCCCCACTCACACACACACTGTCACAGTTCTGTCACCCTTGTCTGGGTTTTCTCTTGGTATAGTGACAGAGCTGTGACACTCCCGGTTTGTCATGTGTTTGTGTTAGTCTGGTCTGTTGTGAGGGACATTAAACAATAACAATAATAGGGACATTAAACAATAACAAGATGGGCGGGGTTTGACAATTGACAGGAGAGCACATGGCACAAGGAAATAACATGACAGCCATGTGCTCTCCTGTCAATTGTCAAACCCCGCCCATCTTGTTATTGTTTAATGTCCCTCACCTGCCTGCCTCGTTATGTTCCTTTGTTTGTTCCCTATTTAGTCTCCCTGTTTGCAGTCCTGTGCTGGTTCGTTATCTATGTTTCCCTTGTGTTTTCAGTGCATACCCGAGTTCTCTCTTGTTTTCCCCTACGGGATAGTTTTGGTTTGTAGTTTGTTTTGTTTGTTTAATAAATATCCTTCCTGCACTTGGATCCTCGCTTCCTGATTTACCCATCCCGTGACACACACACACACAGATAAACTGGCAAGACTGCAACAGCAAATTTTTAGAATATGCAAAATAAAATCAATAAATGAAAAAAAAAAACACTCGCTCAAATGCACGCACACACACACTTATTTTGTTCGATTTTTTAATTATCAAATACTGAGTAACAAAAATGTTTGCATTGTGTTCCCTTTCTAACCAAATGTTACTGTTTGATTGTAGTCATATGCAAAACCTGATACTTATCTAAAAAATAAAATAAAAAAAAAAAAAAGTCTTTAAGAATATCTAAATATATATCTAAATAAAAAAGACGAATAAGATAGAGAAATCATGTCTAAAACAACAATTGGAATCAAAAAGCCTTTCTATGTATTTATATAGGAAGCTATAATGTTATTGTTTGATTATAATCATAATGCAAAACCTGATACTTACCTAAAAAGCATTTCTATGTATTTATAGCCTACAGGCGGTTAGGACATTTCACACATTTATATATTTTTAAAGCCACTGGATGGCGGTCTTCTCACTTGAATTTTTTTTTTTTTTTTGCCGGCAGCCTGCAGTCTATTTTGATGTGAAATGTTGCATTTATTGAAAATGTTTGTTTTTTTTATATAAAAAAAAAAAATTATATTAATTCTAATGGAAAAAATAGCTCATAAAAATTATATAATTAATGCAAAGTATCATAAAAAATCTTTAAAAATTGTAAATAATAATCAAAAAATATTATTGAACAAGAATATATTTGATTGGTTTTCCTGGGGGTAAAAGAAAGTTACATTTTAAGGCTTCAGTCTTTTTTGACCGGGAGGAAGCTAAGTGTAACCCCTAAACGAAGAAGCCTTAAAGTGGATTACAAAGCTTTCAAATTATTTCAATGATTAGTATTTCACTTGTAGTACACTTAGTCTATTTCAATTTCTTAAGATAGGCCTATAGGCAAACACTCACCCTTTTTGTTCATGCCTATTCCTTGTTTATCTTGTATTATTTTGTGGCCCTGTTAGTTAGCTTGCACAGGCTTTAAATCATTGAATATGTGTTTCATTGAATAGTAATCTTTCTCTCACCTCTCATTTTTGGAAGCAAATAATCCAGGTCTAGGTTCCAATTGCTAAACTGCATTCGTTTGTAGAAGAGTTTCGTTTGGTCTGTCCCTATATATGAAGGACCATAAACCTGCTAGACTTGTTTTTATTCATGCATCACATCACATCCCACTCCACCCAGCTGTCCGACTCCATGAACACTGCTCATTCTCCCCAGACTAATTACTCCCTTACACCTGCTCCTCATCAACCAGCAATCAAAGACTATAACAGACTTCTGAGGCAGCGTTACGTTTTATGATCTATACTTTCTATAGAGTGATATTTGGTAATAACTAAGAGAATATTTAATTACTCACTAATGACTTTAAAAGTGGAAAACATTGGTCAAAAACGTACGTTTACACAGAAACTGACCACCAACAGAAACTTTCAGACACCATATTTATTTCTTAGCTTAGCTGTCAAACAATGGAAAGCACAGGATTGTGGGATATCAAAGGATACATCTATCCCGTCTTCAAAAATCGGCCAGTTGAACATTATCTCTGGAGACGGGAAGCAAAACTAACATTGGATTCGGACATGCCTTGATGTCTTTCTTTGTTGTCTGTCTCTTCATATCATTGTAAGGTGTACTCGTGGATTACTCACCTGTGTTTTACTCTGTGGATTTTCTGTTGTTTCCTCATTCCTTTGTTGCCTGTTGTTATTTCCTTGTGTGATTCCTCTGGCATTCTCCTGACTGGTATTTTTCAAATCAGTTCTACTCACCTGTTACCACGGTGTTCACTACTGTACCTCCAATAAACCTGGACTTGAGTTCATCTTCTCTGAGTCTCTTAATCTGAGACAATATGGTGATGACTGCCATCCATACATGTTTTTGAAGTTTTATTTTTATTTGTTTTTATGAACTCTAAACAGTAATTTTTATCAAAGTATATAAATGTATACATTGTGCATTACAAGCGAACAAACCTTTGCAATTTGTAAAAGACCTTTGCAGATGCATTTCTACTGAAATGTATTAAATGAAAATTAAATTAATACAAAAATGTAATGATTAAAAAAAAAAAAAAAGTAATCTATTAGGAAATTCTACGTTTTTCAATCTATTAAATCAATACAGTACGACTGGGCCTCTAAACTAAGCTCTTACTTGCACAGCTTCAGCCTTTCTTGGCCTTTAGACATTCCTTCAGCTGCTATGACCATCCAATCTGTTTCTCCTGCTGTCTGCAGCTGAAAATTGAGAGAACAGAAGCAACCACTATCGATGCACTTGAGTCTACCAAGCAACAACACATAAAATAATGAAAATAATCTGAAACCTCCAAAACTGATGAATGTAGACTTGAGAGACATGGCCAATACGATTATAAAAAGGTGTGATAGAGAAATGTTTTTTCCAAAATCAAAAGGCTATTTGAAGTACAGAAAAGAAAAAAAAGATATCTCATAAATGTATCAGAAGCTAAAAGGATAATTCCAGGGATTATCATAGTGCTTGAAGGGGTCATAAACTGCTTTTATTTTATTTTATATAGTTTCCTGAGGTGCACTTGTTAGTATGATTTTTACATAAAACATTTTAATCATTTAGAAATATCCTGATTTGAACGTTCTGTTTGAACCCTCAATCATCCTTTAGCAGCCCTTAATTCATCCTTCGGGAACAAATGTGGGTATACAAAGGTCTCAGGTGTGATCCCAATTTTTTTTATTTTATAAACACCATATCACCATCTTCGATAAAATAAAATCTATCAATTCATGCAATTTTTTTGTGATTTTTGAAGTATTTTTTTTATTTATTTACCTCTAAAGTACCCTATTTTTATGTAAAATATGCTTATTTTTTTGTTATAATATTTATTTTACTTCAGTAAAAAAAAAAAAAAACATTCCATTAGGTTCAGACAGCCAAAACCTAGAAATGTGGTGACTTTGGTGACATAAGTTGGTATAAAAATAACAAAAAAGAAAAAATATCAATAGCCAGATGGCTGTACTTAATGGCTTCATAGGCTGTAATCTATAAATCATTGTAATGAACTTAACCTCTCAAGTTTTACATTTTAACACAAGTTAAAATTGTAAAATGTTTTAAAAACCATTTGTGTTGGGTGAGACAAAGATGCCAAAATGCTTACAATACTATAAGGAAAAGACAAAGTAGGAGACAGAGAAATCATTTATTTCAAACAAAAACTAAAAAATACCAAACAGGTAAGAATAAACAATAAACCTATCAATAACTCAAAAAAAGTAAATGTAACAAACAGGTACGAATAAACAACGTAAAACATGTTTTGTTTTGAAGCATCAACAAATCTTGCTGTAGGACTTTGATCTGACTCTAGTGTGTGTGTGTGTGTGTGTGTGTGTGTGTGTGTTGCACAGTGGCTGATTGGCACATTTAAAAAAAAAAAAAATTGCTCTGTTATTAGCTCATTCAATTCCTTTGTTTGTGTATATGTGATTGACTGTTTTTTTATTGGACAAATTTAAAAAAAATTGCTCTGAATTAGTATTTCCCATTCATTTCCTATGGGTGCCCACTTTTGTCCACTAAATTAAGAACCGCAGAATTAAGGAGTTGTTTTTTCAACCACTTAACATTGTTGAATCGAGTCAAATTCCTTTTAGTGTTCAGGTGTCAAACTTAGGAAAAGTCTTGGACCACTCAGGTTAACAATCAATTTAAAAAAAAAAATCTAAACAAAATGATTTTGCCCACATTTGTCCCGAAGGATGATTGAGGGTGTCTGCTGTGAGACTTCAATATAAACGCCCACTGCTATGATTGGCTAATATCTTTGCATATGAAATAAATATTACATGTGTACTCTCTCAAACTTTTTGCGTTTACCATTACAGCTTTTGAGATTAACTAACCGTGAAAAGTGTTGATTATTACATTATGCATGAAAGGTTACAGCGATGAGCCAACCCGATCTCACGCCAATTTGAACAAATTTTACGAGGTGGCTAATTCGTACGAATTCATACAACCTCACTTGTACGAATTCATACGATTTTTGCTAAATCGTACATATTTTACGAGATGCCCAATTCGTACAAATGACCTACATCTGACCATGCCCCTAAACATAACCATCACGTGGGTTTAGACAAAAAGTGAGGTCATACGAATTTGTACAAATTAGCCACCTTTACTCACTCCTACGAATTTGTACGAATTGGTAGCAGATTACAGACATGTCTGTTGAGCGCATGAATACAGTGATGTTGCACATTAAAATGTACGAAACAAAAAAAGAATGCACTACGGAAGCGTATTGCATTCACTTGAGGAAAAAAATCGTCTCGGTTACGGATGTAACCCTCGTTCCCTGAGTAGGGAACGGAGACGTTACGTTGGATGACGGAGAATGGGGGTTTCGCCAGAAAGCCAATCCTCTTCGAGTATTAAAAAACGAGCCAATGGCAAAGAAATGCCATGGGTCTGCGGAATTTGCATAATGTATCTTCGCCTCACTGCGTGAGTATTTAAGGAGAAACACCTGCAACAGCAGATCATGTCTTCGCTGAGGAGCCGAGACTGAACTCAGGCGTCTACCCAGCGGTACAGCGGAAGTGGCACGGAGACTTAACGTCTCCGTTCCCTACTCAGGGAACGAGGGTTACATCCGTAACCGAGACGTTCCCTTTCGTAGTCACTCCGAGTTACGTCGGATGACGGAGAATGGGGGTCCCCGTGTAATCACGCCACCTTCACAGCTGTCTTCCAGTGCCCTGCGAAGTCTGACCTCCCTGTCGTGATATAGGCACGGACGAAGGAGTCCTACTAACACAGGAATACCAAGGTACACTGGGAAGCATATCTCAGGGGAGATATGCCGCAGCATGCCTACCCATAGGGAGGACTTAAGAATACACATATGGCCCAAGGGGGCTACATATGGAGGAACACTGGAGTGACCAGCCCGTAGGGTGGCATCTACTTTCAACTCCAGGAGTGGCAGGTGACTTGCCGAGGGAAAGACACATGCTCAAAGAGGCTTACAGTGGAAAATACACATGTGGGGGTTACTCAGAGGAGGAACCATGCACACGGAGGCACCTAGCCGACGCACAGGCAATAGACACTGGCGCCAGCGTCAACAGTGCTGGAGGAACTCAGGGCTTCAGAGGGGAAGGCTCGTCTGAGGAAATATCGCACGTATCCAGTCCGTGGAGTGGAATGGCGAGCAAGCGAGACACTTAACAGCTCCCATGTTAGCTTGAAAAAGACAGTACATGGGCGGAGACTGGCTCCACTCGGAGATTGTAGAATCTGGCGAATGTGTTAGGTGTCGCCCAGCCTGCAGCTCTGCAGATGTCTGTTAGCGAGGCGCCACGCGCTAAAGCCCAAGAGGACGCCACACTCCGGGTGGAGTGGGCGGTCACACCAAGGGGGCATGGTCGACCTTGCTGCTGGTATGCCAAAGCAATGGCGTCCACTATCCAGTGAGACAACCTTTGTTTGGAGAGAGCCTTTCCCTTCAGCTTCCCACCATAACAGACAAAGAGCTGGTCTGAGGTCCTGAAACACTGCGTCCTGTCTACGTAAGCACGGAGAGCGCGTACTGGACAGAGCAGTGCCAAGGCTGGGTCTGCCTCCTCCCGGGGCAGCGCTTGCAGGTTCACCACCTGGTCCCGAAAGGGAGTGGTGGGAACCTTGGGCACATATCCAGGCCGGGGTCTCAGGATCACGTGAGAGTGACCGGGCCCGAACTCCAGGCACGCTTCGTCAACGGAGAATGCGTGCAGGTCCCCTACCCTCTTGATGGAGGCCAGTGCAACCAGGAGCGCTGTCTTCATTGACAGGATCTTAAGCTCAGCTGATTGCAGAGGCTCAAAGGGAGCCCTCTGCAGGGCACTTAAGACCACTGAGAGGTCCCAAGAGGGAACGAGAGGAGGGCGAGGAGGATTCAGTCTCCTCGCTCCTCTCAGGAACCTGAGGATCAGGTCGTGTTTTCCAAGAGACTTACCTTCAACTGCTTCGTGATATGCGGCGATAGCGGCCACATACACCTTCAGGGTGGAGGGAGACAGCCTTCGCTCCAACCCGTCTTGCAGGAAGGAAAGCACAACGCTGATCGAGCATCTCCTGGGGTCTTCTCGGCGAGAAGAGCACCAGTTAACGAAGAGGTTCCACTTCAACGCATAGACATGTCTCGTGGACGATGCTCTAGCGGAAGTGATGGTAGCCGCCACCGCTGGTGGCAGGGTACTCAAACCTGCCTCGTCCCGTCCAGGAGCCACACGTGGAGTCTCCAAAGATCGGGACGAGGGTGCCATAGGGTGCCCCGTCTCTGAGAAAGGAGGTCCTTCCTCAGAGGAATTGGCCAAGGAGGTGCTGTCGCGAGGAGTATAAGTTCGGAGAACCAGGTCTTGGTGGGCCAGTATGGGGCGACCAATATGACCTGCTCCTCGTCCTCCTTGATCTTGCACAGAGTACGTGCGAGAAGGCTCACTGGGGGAAACGCATACTTGCGTAGGCCCTGCGGCCAGCTGTGCGCCAGTGCATCCGTGCCGAGCGTGCCCTCGGTCAGGGAGTAATACAGGGCGCAATGGGATGAGTCGTGGGAGGCAAACAGATCTATCTGTGCGTCCCCGAACTGGTCCCATATCAGCTGGACCGACTGGGGATGGAGTCTCCATTCGCCAGAGGTTGGCCAGAGCCGTGACAGCTCGTCGGCTGCAAGGTTCCGCACTCCTGGAATGTAAATAGCACGAAGGGACCTCAGGTGCTTCTGACTCCATAAGAGGAGGTGGCGTGCGAGTTGCGACATACGGCGAGAGCGTAGACCACCCTGACGGTTGATGTACGCTACAGTCGCGGTATTGTCCGAGCGGACAAGT